ATTAATTAAGATTGAAATTAATCGTTGGCACCTTCATCAGCCCGTGACTCGTATGGCCTTTACGGATTGTGTTATTATTATTTTTATTTTAAGAATTCGAGTCTACAGAAATTGTTTTCAAATTAATTAATTTAGAATGTTTCTTAAATTTACTTTATTAGCAAGTATTTAATAAGAAATATGTGCAATATGGTTTCTGTGACAAAATTATTTTAAAGTACCTGCATTTTTAATACTGTTTTTTATTTAAAATATAATTATTAACAAGTTATTTTTTATTTATTGTTATGAGTAGAAACTTGCCTTTATTTACATGACCTTTGTTTCTGTTTGCGAGTTTTACAGCTAGTTTTTAATCGATATTTATAGTTCATTTTTATATTTAAGCACGTCTTAAAAGTACAGCTTTAAGATTTTATAAACTAATTACAAAATCATATTAGCATTAAGACATTATTGAAGATGCCTTCATAAGAACGGACTATGAAAGAGAAAATATCAGTCTTTTTATAATTTTGAAATATATTTGTATTTCTTTTATTAATTTTGTAGATAAAGATTATGTGTTCGTACATAATAAAACATATAACAAAATATTTTTACTGCGTATATGCTTCTTAAATGATAGCCATTTAAATTTTATCGAATCATCGCATTATGTAAAGCATGTCGCTTGCGTGATCAAATTGCGGCGGTAAAAAATTCTCAGAAAAACATAGTTTCCCCAAATTATATAAGTAGTTATTATACAATAATGTATAATAGATGTTAATAAAGGAATGAGACATTTGCTCTTGAGATAATATATAGTTTGTTACATCTTTAAATGATATACATTCTGACATATCTCGATTATCTATTGATTAATAAAGACTATCAAGGTCAGTTAAATCTTTACTCTACAACTTAAAGTTCATGAATAGCAAATCTTTCTTTTTACTTCATACCAGGTATAAGTAGCAATTTACGGTAATATCGACCTTGGTACATAGCAACTGTTGCCAATAACTTGGAAACATTTCTGTTTGAATGCATTCTTAGAATACTATAAAGTTTTATGTGGGACTGCGAAATTAATAAAACTTTGTATATAATAATAATAATCGCGGAGAAATAAATTGTTCCTTTTTACTATAAATTTTTTTACATAATTTATATAATTTATAATATATACTTCGAATTAATTACACTTAACGTCTAACTAATTATTACGTTTTAATAATTTATTAGTTGATTATTAGTTGATATAATAAAGTTTAACATTAATATTTTAGATATTTGATAATCAAACAGATTTATTTAACGAATTATAATGATCTTATGGACGGTTTGTGTCACTGAAATGCCTGTTATATTTCATTCATGACTGTATAGCTCTTCGCAGTGCATGCATTATATCTAGATATGTAGAGAAAATTGCATTATCATGAAATTAAGAAAACAAAAATATTTTTTCTATTGTTGGAAATATGAATGATATTCTGTATCTTGACTTTCTATATGACTACAAAATAATTTTAATTTTTTTATCATTATATGTGGTCTGTAAATTCTTTCATATATTAGAATTATTAATTTCTTAAGTTATAAAAAAAAATAGGCTATATAAATCTCTATCGAAATTTTAAAGAATTATGCTTTAATAGTATATACAGGATGTTTCATTTTAAGTGATATGGTCGATTATCTCGCGAATCGATAATTTTATTGAAAAATTTTTCGAACGAAAGTTGGGAAACGCTAAGTAACCAATATTATATTGTATTAAGAACAATAGCTTCACAAAATTTATGAATTGCACAGTTCGTACAATTCATATGTCAATTATACAGTTTTTAGAGAGAGGGATATCTAGAACTATATATGATCAAACCTATAATAGGTAGACAGTAAATGACAGTCGGCCACGTTCGTATGTGTTTCGTTCTGTACTTGCCTATTGTAAGTTCTTTGAAAAGGATAATCTTCACGTAGTGGAAAAATTCTTCGGTCTTTCAGATACGGAATCTTTTCTTTAATGCAATTTTATTAATTTTTATAGTAATCAATTTTATCGATTTTTATTCAAGTTCAAATAGATACACCGGTTACATTGATTTGTTAGTAGCAACTGAAAACATTCTGTTAAAATTTTTTTGCACGTATATATATCATTCTATCGTGTATATATCTGTATTATTTTTGAATTGTTGTTCAAAATAACTTATTTCTTCTAATAAGCAAGTGTAACAATTGTTTCTTAATAATTGTATAGCATATAGTGGCAACTGTATATTCAAAATATTTCTTCTTTTCTTATTCAGATATATTATACATAAACATAGGCAAAATAAATCTTAGAACATATAAATATTAAGACTGCTGTTCATTCATTATTACTGTCTCAGATTATGACGTCAGAAGACGTATGATAAAAAATTTTTGGATATTTTATTTAAATAGAGAAATATTTTTTTCAATAAAACAACACTTGCAATCGATAGAATATAAAATATATAAAAAACTATCTTTTTATTTCGGTGAGAAATTAAACCATATTTATTTCTATGTACTATTAATTTAAGTTTATCATAGCTGTAATCATAGTTTATTTTATTTTTTAGTTATGCATAATTCATTTCCAGATATATGGTTATTAATTAATTAACAAAACAAACGAAGAGTTCTTTTCGGTTTATTTTGCAAGCGATTTTATCGATTGTAAGTGTTATTTTATTTAGAAACATATATTTCCATATTAATATATTTTACAACAATTTTTATTGTGCATTTTCATACTTTTGATATTATAATTTAAGATGGTAGTAGCAACTGAACAAGAGCTTTAAAATATTTTCTCGTCATTTTTGAAGAAAGAATATGCTAAAATTTTTAATTCACTTCGTTTTCTCCATATACAATTCTTTTTCTGTCGCTTTTAATAAGTTCGAATAATAATTTTCTTCATTGCAAATAATAATCTCTGAATGCAAGTAATAATCTCTGATTAGTGCATTCTTTTACTAAAATTTGGAGGGCAATTTCAAACAGGAAGTGATCTTGCATGATCTTGTATGAATTACTATGGTATTATAGTAATATGGTGGAATCAGGTTTTGAGTACAACTATCTAATCAGCAGATAATGTTTTTAAAATATATTTTATGATATAAATATATTATCATAATATACATCAAATACGATAAAGAACGTCATGAACGGTCAAAGTTAGATGTTTCGAATAACACATTATATATTATTTATTAAATCAATTTATTTCAGATATGATTGCATGCTGATAACTTTGCGTTTGTGAAGTTAGCACCCCAACATTGAAATTCCATACTTCTGATTAGAGTTCTTGTTTCCTTTTGTCGAGACGAAGAGTTCTCTATAATTTATAACAAGAGTTCCGCTTAATAATTATTTTTAAATAATTTTTTTAATGGGGAGCTAACTTCTTATCGAAATTCGAGATCGAATAGTTCTGAGCGGCTCAATAGCTTCATTTCGTGAATATCTAGAGTTCCTGATGCATAAAAAAAATTTTGAAAAATCAATTTTTAGATACAATAGTTCTGATTAGAGTTCATTTCTAATCAGAACTACTGGCACTCTCAACAAATTTTTCGGCGTCGGACTTAGAAAATTTTCAACTACCTGTTAAATATCTCATATTTCGCAAACCGTTGGTCCAATCAGAGTTCAGTAGTTCTGATTATCGTTTTAGGCAGTTCTTGACGAGTTCTATCGAAAAGTATCAGGTGACAATGCGATTGGACCAACGATTTTCAAGATACGCGAAATTCAAGAAGTGATAAAAAATTTTTTATTTTTTTTTATAAATTTTCTTGCGTGTCAAAATTGTTTTTTATGTATCAGGAACTCTAGATATTTACAATAGAGCTATTAAGCTGCTCAGAACTGTTCGATTTCGAATTTCGCTGAGAAGTTAGCACCCTATTTTTAAAAATTATTAAAAAATTATTATTAACTGAATCTCGCATTAAAAAATGCAGAGAACTCTTCATCTTGTTAAAAGGAAGCAGGAACTCTAATCAGAACTGCTGTATCTAAAAATTGATTTTTCAAAAATTTTTAACTTTTTTTTATTAAACAAAATTTTTTTTATGCATCAGGAACTCTAAGTATTCACGAAATGAAGCTATTGAGCCGCTCAGAACTATTCGATCTCGATAAGAAGTTAGCACCTCATTTAAAAAAAATTATTTAAAAATAATTATTAAGCGGAACTCTTGTTATAAATTATAGAGAACTCTTCGTCTCGACAAAAGGAAACGGAAACTCTAATCAGAATTATGGAATTTCAATGTTGGGGTGCTAACTTCACAGTGATAACTTTTCGGACTTTAACACAATTAGTCTGAAATTGATAATCTCCTCTAAATTAAATTAGAAAAATTATAAAGAACTTATTGCGAAAAATATTACCTCAGCCATGGTTCGAATCAGAGACCTCTCGACTTTCCGATCTCTGTTTATAATTCTATTTACAATTAATTCTATTTATCTTTTTATTTTTTAACCGAATTCGATTTATTCGTGCATGACCATACATAGAATTTGTTTATGATGCAGTGATTCGAATCTAAACTCAGTGACATTGATCAAAGCGTTCAGGATTTCTCCGATTTACAAAATCCGAATATTTTTGGCAAAATGGTTGCGGATACAAAGGTAAATACAAAAACGGTCTTTTACACTTAATTCTAGCTATACACACTGGGGTCTCAGAAATCCCAGTGCAATTTGTTAAATTGAAATTTTTTCGTGTTTCTGAACTTCCCTTTTTTTGAACCTATATATCTCGAAGCTCTTTAATTCTATCGACTTTTATGAACTTGTTCTTTAATCAATTCTCCATCGATTGATAAAAAAAATTAATTAAAATATATCCATTTTTGCGGAAGTTTGTTACGGTAACAAATATGGATGGAGTCCCAGGGATCCGAATGTGTTTATCAAGAGTAGAAAAAAGAGTGTGTATAGAGCTAGGATTAATGTTCCTTGTCAAAATCTTTAGATATAAAGCAAATTTTTATCAATATATATGAAATTTTTTTAAATTATACAATGGAGAGTAGAGTACAATGGAGAGAGAGTAGGGTGGTATTATGGTCAGTGTAGATATTATGGCCTCCCTTAATATCTTCGCTATTATATGGCGAATTTTAATGATTACTTATGGAATTATTCGTTCAGTTGCTCACCCTTACACAATGACGTTAATATCAATACTCAATAATCAGCTTATTATAACGCATTTTTACTTTCAAGTATTTCGAAACGTTTCTTACACTGTTTCTTACACTAAAAATAAATGTGTTTTAACACATTTTACGTGTGTTAATCATGTAGTCACTTTTTACACGTTTGTAGGTGTGTGACTATACAATACATAAAAAAGTGTATAAATTTGCAAGAAACGTTTAAGCGTAACACACGAAAAATGTGTTCTATAGACATATATGATTCGCGTTGTATAGAATGAAATCACACGGTGTGGAAAAAAACTGCGGAATAGAGAATGCGTCATTAAATGCGTAATTATAAATGTAAAATAGCAAACAACACACTCATGAAGATGACTAAAGAGTTAGCCGAAACATGTATTTTATTGTAATTCTTCCTAATTAAAAGTCAGATATGTAATATATTGTTGACAGTCATATCTATCGCGCACTTTGTACAGCGCTAATTCCCAATAGCCATTACTTTGTTACTGGACTATAATTTATTTATTTCGGGAATTGACATCATTATTATTTGATAATTAATTGTAGCTCTACTGTTAATCTATAGTTTACATTACGTGTACTTTTTAGTACTGAGATTTTTAGTACTGAGCAGCTTATATGCAGAAGTTATGTGTATGTATATTTATTTTTGCATACATTTTAAAATGTTTGACTTTTTTGTTAATTATTTTGTAATCAAATACTGTTTTTTAAACAAAACTAATTTTTTAACGCTATTTTTATAGAAAGCCACATTATCACCAATATTTTTCTTCGAATCATTGTGCAATGTCGTCACATTTTTATTAATAGTGTCCTAAGTAATAAATATTTCTTTAATATAACTTTAAGTCCAGAATCGATTCAACAACATTTTAACGAAAATTGTCAAGTTTTAAACTTATATATTGATTATTAATCAAGTTATTATGTAAAATGTAACTGGGATGCCATAATATCACCTTCTCCTCTAATATTTAATGCTAGCAGCATGTTATAATAGCAATTATAACGATCAATCTTTACAGTGCTATGTGCTGAAGTACTTTTCTATCAATGCAGTGGATTTCCGAGTACTCGGTGCATTGATGAAAAAGCGTAAAACAAGTAATTGAAACAATTTAACTATATGTTGTTTACAGAATTTTACCGTGGAAAATGGCGTTTACAAAGGAGAAGAGACGTATCAGTCGATTAAGTATAAGAGCCTTGGAGAATTAATGTGGGTTAGCATTACAACTCATGAAGAAAAAATCGCACATGTGAGTCGACGTTTACACGTAATATTAATTTTTATATTTGCAGGAAGAAAGATATAACTTTTAAAGCTTATAATGTTTTACTAAAAAAGAAAAATGGTTTAAAAGCTTTAGAACAATAAAAAGCATATTAATACTATATTTTAAATTTTAACATTTTCAAAAACATTTGTTGTCAAAATGTAAAATATAGTATTAATATATGTTTTAGTAGTGATAGTAGGGGAGAGGGGGAGGGTCTAAATCGGACCTATTTGCAGTTCTTGCTCTCTATCTTTATAGATAATCCTTGTAAATAAAGCCCGATCGTAAAATCGAAGATGCCGTTGGAAAGATCATTTAATTCCCTGAAGAGGATTTATTGTTACGTTGTTACAATTTTTAGGCCTGAAAGAAATTTTTTAGTCGATTAATTATGGTTTCATGGTTTATTAGTATGGTTTTATAATTTATTTATGCTTAAATATGAGATCTATTGCGAAAAAGCTGTGAATTAGGTCACTGATGACTTACTGAGTAGTTTTTAATTGTATTTGTTTAAACTTAAAGGCTTTTTAAATCACTGAATATGAATCCGATGTCAAAATTGACAAATTCAAAATCATGATATAGACATTTATACAAAAATTTTAGCAAAAATCCGGATATTTTTCAAGTTTTGACATCCGCTATGTTAATTTTCGTTTGTTAATTAATTCTTTAATTTAAAATTTTACATAATAATAATATTGTACAGTTAGATGCACGCACTGATGAAACATTTACATACGCGGAGTTGCAAGATAAAACTGTGAGATGTGCTTTATGGTTACAAAAGCAAGGAATCAAATGTGGCGACGTTATTAGTGTGTGTACGAGTAATCAACCCAACTCTATAGTGCCCTGTATTGCAGCAGCTTATGTTAACGCAATATTTAATCCATGGAACGAAGATATGGATTTACGTAAGATCTCTCGATAATTATATCAAATATTATGTTATCAAACATTGTTACATATTACATTTGATTAGATAAGTTCAAGTTGATTAGATAAATATTTCTAACAATGAGCTCGAATAAAATTTTTTATCTTGCGATAATTAAACATAATTTTTTTCTTATTTATTAATTGATCGTACAGTAATATTTAACAAAATACTTACTTCTTTATTAATTATAAAGCATTTATTATCAGCAACTGCATTGCACGTTTTGCAACTGACTACGCCGAAGGTAATCTTCTGCAGCGAGAAATCCGTGGGTGTCATTTTGAACGCGATGAAAGAGAAAAATTGTAATCCTATGGTAGTGGTTTTCGGTAATCATGATAGCGCGATTTCGTTGTCCGATATCCTGAGAAATTGCAACAATGCGGAAGCTGCAAATTTCCGTTATGTTGAGCTTGACGATGTTAAGAAGACAGCATGCATCATGCATTCGTCTGAATGCCGAAAGGCGTCGAATTGTCTAACTACACTATGCTACTCTTCAGCGATAACAATAACCTGGATATGACGAATGTGCCAACACTTTGGTTCTCATCTCTTTATTGGATCAGCGGAGTAATGCTGAATGTGAAAGCGATTTCGCAGGGTGCCACAGTGATCCTTTATTCGCAATTCGACGAGGACATCACTTGCCAATTAATTGAGAAATATAAAGTAATATTATTTATCAAAATTTAATTTTTTTTTTTTAAAAACTTTATTTATTGCATAATTAAAATATAAGTACAATTCTTAATTTTTAAAATTTTCTGATCTAACAATAGGAAACATTGAAAAAACAAACTGTGATTTAAATAATTGATATTGAATTTTTGTATCCTGATATAGATTTTTTGCTGCAAAATAATTTTTATAAGTGATATCAATTAATATAGTTTTTTCGCGAATTGTATGATAAAATTGAATCAATTCCTTTCAAACAAATTGTAATATTTTTAATTTATAGTGAAAATAGTTCATGATATATAAAAACCTTTTGTTATTATAGTGTTATAAATTTCCTGTCAAAATTGTTCATCGTCTGATGAGATCAATTTATATATAAGGAATGCACCTTTATAATATAAGCGTTTATCAATTAATTTTATTGTTAAGATAAGTAAATGGCTATTCAAAAGAAATATATTATAATCGTAATCTTTATATCTATTTATTACATTGAATAATTATATTTGAAAGTACTTAAAGTAATAAAATTTAAAAATATAAAATTTTTCTTCTATTCAGGTAGCAATTTTGTTCCTTAGCTCGAGTATGATAAATCGATTTGTCAGAGCAGGTTACGTAAAGAAATATTCGTTACCATCTTTAAAAGTTATATTAGGTGGTGGTGCAATAATTAAGCCAAAAGTGCAGGAAGAACTGAGACGTAGTTTACCACACGTTCAGATATTTCAAGGTTATGGTAAATATCGTTATAATATAATAAAATATTAATAGAGGAAAGTCGCCGACACATACCACTTTGTTTTTAGACAATATTTTTTAAACAAAAGGTAAAAATAAAACTTTAAAAATGTAAGTACAAACTAAAAAGTGTCTTCTATCAAACAGTATAAGCAGTTTTTATAATACTGTTTGCAATTTTGCAATAATTAATTTTTTCATAAGGTAAGCAAAAATGAGCGTCTGACAAAATGAGCTTCAAAACTGACACATTAGGCAGTAATGCTACGTACTCATATTTTTTTTATTTTACAAGCATTATCTGTATAAAGTACCTACAAGTGAATGTATATAAGATTTTCCAGAATCTTTTCACTTCGTTATAAAACATTTTTATTGAATTATATGCATATTTATTTTATGCTGTTCTACAAGATACAAATATGTAATGCAATAGTTTTTCAAGAGTTTTCCCATATATACACGATTGCCTTCAGCTCCAATAAATTTATTTGACACTATAAAGCAACATTATAAAGATTAAGTTAGCTCATGGTCTGTTTCACAGACAGGTATGGCGGTTTACGCTGCACCCTAATTTTAAATTTAAAATCGTATTATGAAAAGACTTATAAGAGAAAAAATAATATAAATAAAACTGATTTATGAAACTACAAGCATTTAAAATGACGTAATATTATCAATAATATAGTCACTATTATTTAAATCACGCAATTTGCAAAAGAAAATCGTAAGAATTTTATTTTCGCATTCGTAGAATTCATTTTTAGCTTATTTGATATAGAAACAAGCCACAAATATACGAATTATGAGTTTGTACTTCTTTAATTAATTAAACAGATCATGATTTTATTAGTATTAATAAAGTGCAATAATTAGTTTCTGAGAAATAAGGGGTCACTTTAGGAGACGTATGTTAGTATCGGTGACTTTCCTCTACATTTAAATGTATGTTGTAAAAATTTGATCAGATTTCTTGTGTTACTAGGAATGACAGAAGTCGGTGGTCTTGTAACGTGTCAATTACCGAATCACAAAGATGGATCTTGTGGCGTAGTAACTAAGAACGTACAAATAAAAATCGTGAATCCTGAAAGCGGAAAAATACTTGACTCAAATCAATCGGGAGAAATATGGATAAAATCTGCATCAATGATGAATGGTTATTATAGGAATCCCGAGGCGACAAAAAGTACGATTGATGAAGAAGGTAAACAGATATTATAATTAATAATAAATTATAATTAATAATAAAAATAAGATTTATCATTTGACTCTCAAGCGAACCATCTTGAGAATATTATTTTATAACTATTTTAAAGAGTTAATTTTTATTTACAATTAAAAGAATTAATATTAATTTAATAACATTTAAGTCATTTGCGGAATATCACTAATAAGTAGGTGTAATAATAGATGCTATATTATGTATGTATGAAAACTACAGTACAGACAGCCAAGAACTATAATAATTGTTTCGTTATATAGAAAACTTTTTGATATTTATCTATTTTTTGAGATTAATCGTTTGTTCTACTTGGAAATTTATGTTTGGAAAATAAAATTAGCGTATAAGTCGGAGGATAAAAAAGGATTAATTATAAGTTAATTAATTAATAGATACAAACTGAATAAATTCTGATCCATAAAATTTAAAAGTACGTAACGTAATAATGTTATAAAAATCTAATACCACAATAATAAATTTAGAACTCTTTCAGGGTGGCTGCACACTGGTGATATCGGTTATATTGATGAAGATGGAGAATTGTTCATTATTGACAGGATAAAAGAACTCATAAAGTATAGAGGATATCAGATTTCACCTGGAGAAATCGAAGGTGTCTTAATATCACATCCAGCAGTGCTAGAAGTTGCAGTAATATCAATACCTCATGCAACAGATGACGAACACCCTCTTGCATATATTACCAAAAAGCCAGGCGCCAAGGTACGATTCTTTATTGTGATATAATAAAGTCATAGAATGAAAATTTACAAAATTAAATGTATCTGTTATATATCTACATTTGTTTGTAACTAATATAAAATGCATCTATTATATACAGTCAAAATAAGAATAATTGCGAACCGGTTTTAAGAACATTGTTTAAAAAATATGATGAATACAAACTCACATTTATAGCAATAAAAATTTATCTTTGCTAACATTTTTCACTGTTATATATAACAACAATAACATTACTCTTTATTGTAATGATTAAATTATGTTTCTGCAGGAGACGGAGCAAGAATTAATAGACTTTGTGGCAAAAAATATGATGGATCACTACAAACTTCGTGCTGGAATTATATTTTTAGATGCTTTTCCGTATACAGGTTCAGGGAAAATTGCAAGGAAAGATTTAAAAGAAATGGCTAAAAAATTATTTAAACGCACTAGTTAATTATACTTCTTAAATGTATATATATATATATATATATATACATAGTTGTACTACACTTTTGTCAAAAGATAGATATTATAAATGGAGCAGATTGATATGTGTTTGCTATTTTATAAAAGAACTATCAAATCAAAAAAGATAAATAGTTTTCTTATAATTAGAATAAATCTAGTCTTAAAAATAAGTTTTAGAAATAATAACAACTTAATCATATTTATAATGTTGTAAAAGTTTTAATTATAATGTTGTTATAGGTAAAATGTAATTGCAGATATTTAACTAATACATACATATGTATAATATAATAGCAGAATCCTATGATTATTTATGTAGTGAATATTGTATGTATTCAAAATTTGACAAGTTATTTAATAAAACTTTATGTTTTATTGATATTTTTTATTGAAAATAAAAAATTATTGAATATAAGTGCCCAGAAAACCTGACGTTTTACATAAAAATTAAGTATTCATACATAATGAGTTTTCTTTGAAATTCGTGTATCTTTGCTGCTATAAATATAAATACGAGAGATTCTAAAATCTCTTTTCTCATCGGGACATTATAAAAGCGCGCTTTTATCTCTGAAATTCTGTACACTGAAAAAAAAGATTGACTGCTGCAGCAAATTAGATGGTTAAATATGGCATAGCATTTTTAATTGGTGGCAGCAGCCAATTTTTGATTGCGTTAGCCTATCCGCAATGTCAGTATAGGATTTCGATAGACTAACACAACCAAAAATTGACTGCTGCAACCAATTAAAAATGCTATGTCATATTTAACCATCTAATTTGCTGCCCCAGCCAATCTTTTTTTTCAGTGTAGTATACGTAACGTTAACTATAGCATGTTAATGCGCTAACATAATAAGCGTTCTAAATACGATGGGCCATAATCTATGAAAGTTGTAAGTGAAGCGATCTTAATCAATATTATATTTATGGAGAATATTAATGAAATTTTAATTTCAGTATTTGTTAGAAAAATATGTGAATTAAATACATTGAAACTTCATAATAATGTTTCAATTCATATTAATGAGAGCGTCTTGGAACGTAAACGAGGTTGTCCTCATTTCACTTTTAAGACCCACTTTCACAACTCACAATTAACTCTTAATCGTTCAACTTATTCATTATCTCTTTTCAAGAATTTTATAATGACTCAACGTTATAAATTTACATACAGTATATATATTTCACATGATTTTTGAAGGGGGGATCGTATAGATAAATATCTGATGGAAGGGATATCACAGATTCATCTATACACGCGATGACAGTAAATGCTTTCAGTCGGCTTTCAACAACGTTCATAAGTGTACCATTTACTTGTTTTACTTGTTCAGTGGATATTTATTTGAGGAAATAATTTTCAAGTATAGTGAAAACATTTTTCTATTCATTATTTACGGAATCTTCTTCGTTACAATCGACATCGATTTCAAATTTCAACATTCTTTCACATTATATAGCATATCTAACATTTGCAAATCAAGGATATAGTGCATCTTATACTCTGAGATGTTCAGAAAGCATTTTTTTATCGTTAATTTATATGCTGAAAAAGCGTAGACATTTCGAAGTGCATTCTATTTATTAAATAGAGACAAACAAAATGCATTTGTTTAACATTTTTAGCAATTGTTTAGTAATTTTGTTTAATATTTTACATCCTACTGAGATTAGCATATTGTTATTTTCTGTAAAGTGCGTGATTTTCTTGTGTGCGGAGTTTCTTTCTTTTTCGTTTTCTGAAAATTACAAATTTTGAACAAAACGCATTTTGAAAGTCTGCTCCTCATATATATTTAAATTGTTATATGTGAATACCGATATAATCGGTCATACCGATATTCATACCAATCGACTTTTATTTTGGTTATTACATGATATTTAAAAATACTAATATATAATTGCTTTTTTTATATCGAACGGGAATTAAGAACGGTATAGCTGGTTATATCGATTTTTATTTCCTGTTCGAAAGACTGTATTGTTTTATCATAATTCAGGTCTTCCTTTCTTGGTTTCAAGCAACTTGCAGTAGCTCTTTAGATTAATTGCTAATTACAAGTATTTTGTTACATGTATCTGTTCTATACTTTCCTGTAAGTATATACTGGTGGCCCATGTGTAAAGTGTTACAAGCTATTATCTTTGAAAGTGTGTCAAATGACTAATATGTTCAGACAAAAGTTTTATGACTTTGAGGAGAGCATAAGATAGTACCATTTGTTTGACCTTGGGTATATATCATTTCAATAAGCTCTTTCAATAAAATCAACATTTATACAATTTAATAAAGATTATGAAACAAAATCGTAAATTGTTTTAATGTTGTAATAAAATTCAATAAGTAATATACAGATAACAGTAAGATACATACAATTATATTAATTGTTAAAAAATTAACATTTTTAGTCACTTTTTATTGCTGTTTGTATAATAAGTAATAAGTTATACTGTGATAATAAATTCCTTTACTATCACAGTACATTTCTTTTTTTAAATTTTGAAGTAGATTTGAAGTAGAACATTAAATAGTGAAAGTGATAACGAGCTATATATCAATAATAAGTCTCTCTTTATGGAATTAATTTCGAAAGAAGAATCTATTTTATAAATATGTATATGTATTTTACATTTAAATTATATATGTAGCGCTATTTCTGATCAAAAACTGAGTTGAAAATTCCTCTACAATTTTGCAATTTTCGTAATGATTGATGAAATATTAATCAATTCTAAAGATAAATAAGCGCGTATCCGGCCGTCCAACCATTAACTATTACGAAAGTTGTAGAGGCCTTTTGGTAGAGGATTTTTAACTCAATTTTTGATCATAGAATTATGTGAATAACATTATGTGATTCGGCAATCGGTTATTCGGCAATAGCTTATTCGACAACCTTTAGAAATTAATGTTTCATCAACAAATGGAAAGTGAATGGAAAAAATATGTATTCTCGCAAAAGTCAAACGCTAGATTAAATATAAGCCTGTGTGTGTGATCAAGATGTTTGAAAAACTTATTAATGGAATGCAAAAAATTAGGCATATGTTATCAAAACCCAAATTTTGGAATTTAAACTTGAAGAAATCAAAGAAATCTAAGAAAAAAATAAGATCTTTTTTCTAATTTTAGTGAAAGTATATAAAATACGTAAATTAAGAAACATAATGCAAACTATATTCATATTTTATTCTTTATACGGAATTTTCATAAATGGAGAGTGTGCAGAAACTTTTTTTAAGTGTTCATTACATTTTTCCAACTTGCACACACACACACACACACACACACCCATACACACACATTTCACACAATTTGATAGTCAATTTTAGTTCGCTCATTTAGAATAACTAAAATGTTCTATTTATGATGCAGTATTGTAAAGTGACATTGTTGGAGCGCATTCAGAGAATCTCATATTTACGATAAGAGACCCAGATATTTCTAGTAAAATGATTGATCATGAATCAATGGTAAGTGTAAAATTACATGGTAATCCGTTGATGTATTTCATTTTTTCATGTTACATTCGATGAAGAAACCATGATTATATGACGTTAAATATGTATATTAAATATCCGCAGTTCAAAAATGTTGTAATAAATAATTAAAACAATCTAATTTGTTATTTACAGATTTTTACTGTGGAAAATGGCATTTATAAGGGGCAAGTACAACTTTTGAATAAATACAAGTGTTTTGGAGAAATGATATGGCACAACATTAGAAGCAATGGAGACAAAATTGCACATGTGAGTCAATTTTATATAGGGTGTCCCGTGAGATTTTTGTCAAGCGCGTTTTTGTAGACAGAGAAAAATTTTCAGAACTTTATGAGAAGAAAATAAGCAATTTTTGTCTCTTGCTGTTTTTCTATAAAGTTGATAGTATTTGAGTAAAAAATTATTGAAGACCAACATTCGGCAATTTTTAGTAATTAATATCTCGTTAGTCATTGTGAAAATTGTAAAATGGTAGAGGACTTTTCAACTCGATTTAGTGGTTTAGTCTGTTTTATCTACAAAAAGCGTTTGGCAAAAGTCTCGCGGAATACCTTGTATAATACAATATTAATACATAGAATTTACTAGAAAAAAATGTAAACTATCAAATTTATGTGTCTATGGAAATAAGAGAAAAGAATTATAAAAAATAGATATTTTAGAATTAAAATGACTAATATTAGCAATGATAAATATATAGGTTACGGTAAATTAAAATGTTTATACAGTACGTAATATATAAACTGTAATCTTAAGCTTTTACTAGATTAAATTTTCGATTAAGTTTTTGATTAAGACATTTAAAGAACTCATCAGTAGAATGCCAAGAGTTTGGCTTCTATTATCAAAACAGTTTAATGTATTTTACAAATGTAAAATATAATTTGTCGAAAGTTATAAACTATTCAATTTTGTATTTGAATGAAATAAAATATTATTTCAGATTGATTAAAGTAAGACATGGAAGATTTCCAAAATACTTTTCAAAACAATTACAAAACTAAGCAAATGTAAGAGAAAAACTACAAAACAATTAAAATGTAAATTTAACAAATGAACATCAAAGACTGCGCTAACAAAATCAGATCTACATGATGTCTGCCGATAATCGCTGGCTAGTAAAGTCGCGTATACAGTCATTGGCTGCGTTCAGCAGAGAAAGCAGCTTTGCAGCTGTTGTAAAATTCTTCAATATGAATGGTTTATACATATTGATCCGTAAGAAACTAAAAGCAAGGATCAATCGTATTCAAGAATCTTACAACAGTTGCAAAGTTGCTTTTTCTGCTGAACGCAGCCAATATCAAAGTTTTACGGTATATAAAATGGAAAACATTTTAGTTGCAATTTTGAAACAATTGTGGAATTAATCATAACACTAACAACAAAATTGTCATAAATAAAACTTTCATTATAACATTGTCAAAAACTGTTTTATTTTAAATTTGATCACGGACGGAAATGATTAATAATAAATATCTTGAGACTATCATTTCGGAAATTTTCGTGATACAATTCAATAGGCATTAAAAAAAATGCACAGTAAATAAAAGAAACGAGAATCCAAATAAAATCCTTTAAAAACTGATTGAACATGTTTTCAATTATGTATAGTTTTTGCAAAATTTAATTTCTTCTTTTAATGAGTAAAAGAGGTTTTGGAACATAGATGATTCTTTTAATAGCGAGCTAATGACTCTGCAATATAACTAATTTCTTACTGTTTTGGAACATTTTTTATAACAACATTATGCAGTTGGACGCATGCACTGAAGAGACGGTCACATACGCGGAGTTGCAAGATAAAGTTGTGAGATGCGCTTTGTGGCTACAAAAACAAGGAATCAAATCTGACGATATCATTAGTGTGTGTACGGGTAATCATTTCAACTCTATCGTGCCCTGTCTTTCGGCAGCTTATATCAACGCGATTTTCAATCCGTGGGACGAGAACATGAACCTAAGTAAGTTCTTTCGCGATTGTTAAATGTTACGATATTCCATGTTATGTGCAGTAAAATTAGAAATAGTTATAATGCATTTCCAATAAAATGTGCGCAAATACAATTTTATTTACTTCAAAATATCTTAATATTTAGCGTAATGTTTATTTTTTTAATTATATATGAGTTATTTATTAGAAACTGCGCTGCATATCTTGCAACTAACCATGCCGAAGGTGATCTTCTGCAGCGAGAAATCGGCGGATGTCATCTTGAGTGCGATAAAGGAGCAGAATTGCAATCCCACGATAGTAGTTTTTGGCAAGCATGTTGACGCGATTTCGTTCTCCGATATTCTGAATAATTGCAGCAATATGGAAGTAGCAAATTTCCATTACGTCGACCGCGTTGACATCACAAAGACAGCATGTATTTTACATTCGTCAGGCACTTCAGGGATGCCAAAAGGCGTTGAACTGTCCAATTATGTTCTATTACTTTGCAGTCAGAATGAATATATTGACTTGACTAACGTGATATTTCTTTGGTTTTCTTCTCTTTACTGGGTGAGTGGGATATTGTTCAACTTGATGACGATCGAACAAGGCGGCAAAGTGATCATCTACCCTGAATTTAACGAGGAGATGACTTGTCGACTGATCGAGAAATACCAAGTAATGTTATGTTATATATAAAAAGTTTTATTTTTCTTAGTTTCATTGAATAATGAAAGTGGAATTATTTTAATTTTTCACATTTTCTAAAAATAATATTACTAAATTGTATCACACTGATGTAAATAAGTAGAAGCAAATAATTTTCTGCTATAAGTAAATTTTTATCTAATTTGGTTTTTACTGTTTCGCGAGTTCTATAATAAAGTTGAAGTAAATTGATTTTTTTAATAATCTAATGTTTTTAAATTAAATTAATAACTGACGCGATTTCTATATGTATTGTAAGTTACCTTTATTATTAAAATAATGATATTAATTTTCGTAAAATTTTTGTTTTATCAATTTCTCGTTTTATGCATTTTTGAGTACCAAATTGCATTTTAATGAATTAATAGCATATTGAACATATATATATATATATATACAGGGTGTTTCCAAATTAAATGGCAAAACTTCGGGAGCGTGTAGAGGAGTAAAAAACTAAGAAAAAAAG